GGAAGTGATAACTAATGTATTACATTTATCACAACTCTTTATTGACTTTGTATAACACGACTCATTAGTTTCATAGATACATTCACCAACACTCAACACATATTCTTTATCACATAAATAACATGTCGAATTAATTTGTGTTTTACAACCATTTTTGTTAATTTCAGTTATATTGTTTTCGTAGTCAAAATGTGTTTTTTCCGTGTATGAAATTGTGCAACCCGTGTTGTCAACAGTAAGATTATAAGGCGTAAAGCATTTTTTACATCTTTGAACACCCTTTTCAATATCACAGAGTTGACAGTATGGAATTATATCATAACAATGAACACAACTTGTATAGTTATTTGAAATCCATCCATCCCCACACTTTTGACACGTTTTGTATGACAAAATTGTATTACCAGAGCAACTTAAACACTCTTTGGTGTTTTGAGAACATTTGGAACAATTTGATGATATATTTTCACATAAATAACAGTTGTTTAATTCTAAATAATAACCAGTTTTACACTGTTCACAAATACCCAAACTTTCATTTTTATTTGTAAATTTACATGAATCACAGTTTTCGTTTTCAGAACAAGAAATGCATGTATCTCCAACTTTTTTATATCCAGAAGTACAATTAGAACAATTTCCATTTGTTTTAATACAATTATCACACTCGGAAGAACACTTAGAACAATTAACAATTCCACCCAAAGAATAATAATGGTCGGGACACTCTCCACAAATACCATTTTCAAGTCCATACCCTTCATTGCAAGTCAAACAGACTCCACTAATTTCGTTACATGTTTTGCAATTGTTTTTACAGTCATAACAATTCGATTTTCCACTTTCATTTTGATATTTTAAATTGTCACAAACTTGACAATTTGAATCCAAAGAAAAGTGACCAACTTCACATATTTCACACACTCCTTTATTGATGTATCCATACCCAGATATACAACGAATACAATTCCCATTTGTTTTGTCACATTCGCTGCAATTTGTAGAACATTTTAAACACATTGAAGACTTGGGAAGTGAATAAGAATTTTCATAACACTCATAACATGTAAAAAAGTTGTCCAACGAATAGGTACCAGCTTTGCAATCTTCACATTTATTGGAAAATGTATTTGAGTATGTTCCTTTTAAACACCCAATGCATTTAGTGTTAGAATATATGTAACCAGGTTTACATTTGCATTTACCACTTAATATATCACACGTGTCACCACAATTTGTATCACATTTCTTACACGAAGATGACCCTTCAATATTAGCAAAATACCCCTTTACACATTCTTGACAAAATGTTTGACCAATTTCATCTGAATAAGTTCCCTTTGGACATTGAAAACATTTGCTGTTTGAACTGTAAAAACCAGATGAACAAATGACACATGTATTATTTATTATACCTGCTCCGTTGATACATTCAGAACAGGTTCCGTTTGTTTTGTTACAACTTGTACAAAGTGGATTACAGGGTTCACATCTTGTACTTCCAGTTGTATTTGAAAATGTCATATTTTTACAAGCAATACATGTTGTAGACATATTAGATTGTGAATATGTTCCGATATTACATCTAATGCATTCCATATTTGATAGAATCGAACCAGAATCACAAGATGTACATTGTCCATTTGTACTATTGCATGTTTTACAAGTTGAAGAACAGTTTGTACATTTTGTTGACCCTTCTGTAGAAAAAGTGTTATTAAGACAAATATTGCATCCGGTACTACCAACATTTGAGTAAAAACCCGCATCACATTTTTGGCATTTGTTTTGGTACAACCGGTAACCTCCAGCACATTTCGTACAAATTCCACTGGTTTTAGTACATTCCAGACAAGTATCATTTGTACATTTCGTGCATGAAGATGAACATTTAAAAGAAAAATATCCATTATCACAATTTAAGCATTCTGTACTTCCTGAACCAGAAAATGTTCCGGCTTTGCATTCATAGCACTTCTCAGAATTGTAATTTTTATTGTAATAACCAGGGAGACATTGTGTACATGTAGAAGCTCCACTTTTTGAGTATGTACCAGGCCAACAACTGTAACAATAAGTATTACCTTGACCCGAAGCATATGTTCCTGCTTCGCATTGATAACAATTTTCCCAAAAATCATATGTTTTATAAGTACCCGGCTCGCATGGAAAACACTTTCTATACCATGCATTATAATAATACCCAGGTCTACAACTATTACTATATTGTCCACATACCATCGTTGTGTAATTTAATATGAAAACAACAACTACGATTATTTCAAAACAAAACTTTTTATGATAAAGAATAATCATAACTATTCTCTAGTTTTTGAGATTTTAATTGAAGACTAAATAATTGTATTCTTTGATTTATAAACAGTGTATTATTGTAGGATAGTTGTTTAAATTATACAAATTATACAATTTTATAACATTGATATTTTTTGATTGATTTGATAAACCAAATACCTTGGTTGCTATTTCTATGTACATTTTAATAAGTTTTAAAATTAACTAAAAATAATAACATTTTTTTATTTAAAAAAATGTTCTAAAAATTTCGTTATTTCGAACAAACAATGTTATTATTTTATTCAAAATGTTATTTTTGTAAATACTAATTATTTTATTTGTTATAATAATAAAATTAAATAACTTAACAATTTGTTTCAAAACATTACAACAAGACGATATAAAAAGTTTTTTCTCATTAATTTTTATTTGTGATTTGTACAAACTTCTATTATCGTACAAACAATTTGGTTGGAATGTTTGATATGTGTTTTATATACAGATACAGGAAAAACCAGGGACCAAATCAGGGTCGGCCAAACGATCATGTTATTAAAAAACTTAAAAAACTTTAAAATGGTTAATAACATTATCATTTTTGAAAAACAAAAAGAAAATGACAAAACACAATTATTTATACCAAAAGATAAAATGAAGAAAAATAAAACAATAATTTATATTAAACACCAAATAGTTTTTAATTTACTTTAGAATACAACAATCTAAATATTTTTTGTGTTGATTTAATTGTACACCAAAACCATTCAATTATAAATTATACATGCAAATAAAACTTATTCAAAGTTACTCTGATAATAGTTTTCAATTCAATGAGTAATTATTATTTTGACTGATTATTATCATATTTAGAATAATCGTTTTTATCAAGAAAAATAACTAAAGATAAGTTTTACAATATTTTGAAAGTAATATGGTTTATTCAATTCAAAAACTACATTGTTAGTTTTGTATTATTGCAATAATAATAAAAATACTACAATTTGATTGATTCATTGACACTTTATTTTAAAAGAGACGTAAATAAACAAATCTAAACATGTGTTAATAATTCATATTCACTCGTGTTTTGAAAAATTATATATTAATTGAAAAAATTAAATTTTATGTCAAAAACACTCAAGTTGTTTATAATAATTTTTGTTATTCGGAAGTATCTTCTGTCTTTATAAGTATTATAATTTGTGAATAATGTTATTTAATTTAAATAACTTTGTGACACATAGTTTCACGTGCTTTTTACTTTTCAAAAATTGTTTTTATAAACCAAATTTTTACAAATATATTGATAATTTGATCACACAAAAAATTGTTTTAAACTGTTAACTATAGTTTAACAAATTTTTAAAAACATTTTTACACAAAAAAACTTTTTGAATATTTTGTTGACAATATGCTAAAATTAAAAATGAACTGACACGTATTAGAAATTGCCACGAAGTTGTTTAAAAACTGGACCTTGGCCGACCCTGACCAAATCATAAACCAGGGACCAGACTAAATTAAGCTGTTTTATTTTTGGTATAAAGTTTTCTTGTTAAAGTAAAATACCAAAATAATCGGGGTTTTGGAAGATATGTTGGTTTATTTTTAAAAACCAGGGACCAAGTATTAATAAACACACTATTTTTCAAATAAAATAGAAAAAACTATAAAAAATGAAACTCTTAATTAATCATTCAGAGTTTGTTAATGCCCAGCCAAGCCAAAGTATAGTTTGTTCTTTATATTGATTTACTTTAGTTGTTTAATACGTTTAATAATCATCAATCATTTACTTTATGTCTAACATTCCAATAATTCATTTATAATTTTTTTATTTTCATGAACCGCATGAGTCACTTTTAATACTGAACGAAAAGTGACTTATTGAACCAACCGATTGAATAAAGAAGAATTCATTATTATCTTTGAAAAAATGAATGAATGGTTGTGTTGAAGTTGAACATGGTTGAACAAAAGAATAATATTTTATAATTAAATAATAATAAATAATAATAAACTTACTATTATAACTCACATTAAGCTGTTGTTCATTCATACTTTATACAACACATTCATTTTTTTTCATCCCGAAAAATAATTGTTATTAAGACCAAATAACAAGAAAATTACACATTTATTTATATATTTTAGCCCGTTTCATTGTATAAAATCCGCTTAATATTCAATAGCTAAAATTAGTCTGGTCCCTGGTTTTTCCGCTATCTGTACAACTAAAATATCATAACATTAAGTATGAAAATAACAATACACATTTTGGTTTTATATTTAATAGATACGGGTAGGGTAATTTAAATCGTAACAATTTGTGTATCGCGGCGCATTTTCGTGACGTGGCACACCAAAAAAACAAAAATAATTATTTCTTATTTTTCTTTTAGATTTACTTTTTTTTGTTTGGCGGGGAGTAATGATAAATTAATAAATTTAAAAAAAATAATTGTTTTAAAGTAAATGATAACAAAAACAAGTTTTAATGATAAAAACTTGTATGACAATCAACTATGTAACAATGAATGGTGATAATAAGATAATTCACTTATATGACCACCAAAATTCATATGATTCAATATAACTGGCGTTTATTTAAAAATTATATTTTAATCTAACAGTTACATTGAAAAATAATAACAAAATAAAAACATAATATATTTAAAAAATTATAAAACAACTTGATAGAATTCACATGTTAAAAATTGGATTTTTGGCAAAACCAGTTATATTTAAAATCAAATTATTTTCATTTAAAATCTTTTGAGTACAATTAAAAACAATTGAATTGTGTTAAATTTTTCATTTCGATGGTAAAAACTGTACAAATGATAATAGAAAGAATAAAGTTCTAAGACAATAAATTAAATAAAGAAATGTTAAAAGACGCAAAAGTGTGTTTTACAACGTTGAAATTATTAGATTCACCTTATATCAATTTTTTAAAAAAAGAAAAATGGCATCAAGTTGATAAAAATTTAACATATATACTAAATACTATAACTTATAATTATTTTTATTAAAATTTAATAACTTACAAGTGAAAAAAAAAGTTAAAACAATATATTTATTCTTTATTGTTGTAATTTAACAACGCTTAAATAATTTATTATATAATAAAGTTAATAATTTGTTTTTTGCAAAAAAAACTGTACAACTTCTATATTCCAATTCCATTTTGAATTGGCAGACACTAACCACAACACAATTTTTATACAAATTAACATTTCGAACAAAAACATATGTCAAAAAGTATTATACAAATTATTAAATTAATATCTTATTATTATTTAAATCACAATAAAAAACTATTTAAAAAATAAAAAGTTTTTTATCGACATTTCATTATCAATATGCAACAAAATGTTTGTCATTATATAATATTTTAAAAACGCGTTTATTTGTGTTTTATTAAATATAATATTATCACAACACTGTATTTTTTAACACATTTTTTGAAATGAAATTAAAACTTTAATAAATAAAAATTGGCTTTTTCGATATTACCATCGTTATAATTTTTCTTATTATTATAAGTTTAAAACATCTATTAAATTTGTGTCAAATTTAATTTAATATCATCATGGCTTTAATTCATAAACACAATTATAAAATTGTATACATTTAACCTAAAAAGTTTTAATGTTAATAGTTATTATTAAATGTAATATATAAATTCGATTCGAAGAACTAATACTAAAAAAATAAATTAATTACAATATGATGCATCTGTTTTTATTTATTTTCGACATCTTCTTTTGAGATGTTGTGTTGTTATTTTTGACATTTGCTCTGATGTCTCTGACCAATCCCTGAAATGTTTCTGTGATGTTTGTATTGTTCTTTGCAGAAGTCTCATAAAACAGTGTTTTCCATTCATCTGCAACCTTATTGGCATCTTGAGTAAACACCTGTCTGTTTGACTCCAAATCACATTTGTTACCACACAATGCAATTGGGATGTGTTCACTGAAGTCTTTGTCAAGAACTTTGTACAATAGTTCTCTGAATGTGTTTGCCTCGAAAAACGATGTTGTTGATGTGATTGAGTAAACTATGACATATCCATCGCCAGTTTTCATGTATTGAAATTGAAGTGCAGAGTACTCATCTGATCCTGCTGTGTCTAACAAGTCAAGTGAGACCATTTCGCCATCAACATTGATGCTTGTTTGATACGAGTCTTCAAGTGTTGGATCATAGATTTGGACAAAGTGTCCTGAGACCAGCTGCATTGTGATTGCTGACTTCCCAACAGCACCACCACCAAATACAACTATTCGAACTGTTGACATGTTGATTTGGTTTAGCAGTGATGTTTAACTTTTTTATTATAATGTAATGTAATTCATTATAAACAAGGTGAGGTTTGTATTTATAAAAAATCAAAATTTATAAAATTATTGAATAAAAAGTCGGGACTATAATTGTTAATAAAAATATCAACTTCACCATTTATTTGCCTTTTAATATTTTTTTTGTTAATAATAAACAATAAATATACTATTTGTTTATATTATATATATTATAAATTAATATAATATATTATATATAAATATATATACAATTATTTAAAAATATATATGATTATAACAATAAAAATATTTTTCAAAAAACAAAAAATGGGAATCGAACCCAAGGTCTTCTCTTGTTGTTATTCAAACCATTCTGAGATGCACTACCATTATGCTAAATTCCCTTTTAAATAATCTCACAAAATTGCGATTGATAAAT